CAGAAGCCGATGGGGCCCGGGGCGGCCGAAAGAGGCTGGCAGGAGGGCCCGGAGCGGAGCGGGCGGTGCCGGCGCTCCGGTGAGGCGGAGGCCGCCGCAGTCCCCGCCCGTTCGCCCGCTCGCCGGGAGGGGCCGAACGCCGCCGCAGCAGAGCCGCCGCCGGGGCGCGCCGGGCCCGGGGCCACGGGGAACCGCCCGAGGTAAGCGCTGCCGGCGCGGGGGCCGGACGGGGGGCTGCGAGCCGCAGCGGGGCCGCTCCTCGGGCAGGGCCTGCCGCTCCTCCCCTCCCCGGGGGCCCAGCTGGGCCCAGCCGGAGCGGGTGGGCTGGGGGCCGCGGCTGCAGCCCGCGGCGGGCAGCACTTTGCTTGCGGCAGGGGCGGTGCGGCTCCGCACCGGGCTCCGATGGTCGGGCAGGGCCTGGGGAGGCCATGGGTGGAACGCAGGAGAAAACGCGATGTGCGGCACACTCCAGATGTGCCACATCCGCTGTGCTAGCCTCGGCTCTCCTCCCCGTTAGAGGCACCTGCATGTGGCAGGCTTGGGCTCCGCTGCCTGCCTTGGCGTGCCAGGATGCTGCTGCTGGGGATGCACGGCTGTGCAGGGACCCTGCTGCTTTGGCCAGCACGCAGGAGCTCAGGTCACTGGTGCACAGCCAGTGCTGTTGGTGTCCGCATCAGGAGCATCGGTTCGCAGGGGTGGCCATCAACCACGCAGTCACCATCCTGCTGCCTAGAGCTCGCTCCATTCACGTGCTGGGTGACAGGATGGTGCCCCAGGACCCCTGCATAGCCCTCGGCAGGCAGGCATCGTTCAGCGCGGTGTCAACACCATCGGAGGCAGCTGATGCCACTGGGGGCAGGCAGGGTGCTTTTGGAGACTGTGCTTTGCTCTGCCCCAACCTGGGAAAAGTGGAGCATCCTGGCTGAAACTGAGGGCCTGTTGCAGAGCTCCTTGGGTCTGGAGCTGCTTTTCCTTGCTTTCAGTTTGTCTGGGCATGGGTAAACAACTGTAAGCAGAGCTCTTGGGGAGCGTGAGGCTGAAGGAAAGCGAAGGTGTTGGACCAATTTCTTCCCTTTCATCCCACAGAACAGCCAGGCTAAAAATAACCCTTCGCCTCATGCTGTGTGGGAAAATAAAGGAGACTAGAGAGGGAGTGCTCCTGGATCAGAGCAGTTAAAGACCTGCTTGGTTTAAAAGCATAGATAAAATCTTGTGTGCCTGAGGGGGGAGAGGGAAAGAATATAACCAGTGCCACTGTCTGGGAAATCCCATGGGAAATAAGGCATGTTCCCTTTGCAGTGGCAGAGACTGAACAGCGTGGTGAGCTACTGAAGAGGCAGTGCCGCCTGCCCCACCATATCTTCATGTGCAGCCTGGGAGCTGCAGTTTAGCCAGCATGTGCCATCAGGATGGCTGGGCTGGGAGTCATGAGAGCATTTCGGCTGGGAGTCTGTGGCTTCGGAACAAGCCAGGCACATAGCATGAGAGAAGAGTCTGTGATGCTTCCCACCTTCTTTCAGCCATCTACAGCTGTTTGGGAGAGGGGCCCCCAGGAGTGGTGATGGGGAATGCCAACAACTCCCTGATGGCCCTGCCTGTTCCTCTGTGCAGGATGGTTCCCCCACCACCTGTCAGCAAGCCCCACATCTGCCTCTCCACAGTGCTCATCATGACCAGCCTTGTCCTCATGGATGCCTACCTGGTGGAGCAGAGCCAGGGCTCCAGGAAGCTGAGCATCTGTGTCATGGTGGCAGTGGGTGATGTGTGCTTCCTGCTGGTGCTCCGCTACGTGGCCATCTGGGTTGGGGCAGAGGTGAAGACAGCTAAGAGAGGCTATGCCATGATCCTCTGGTTCCTGTATGTCTTTGTTCTGGAGATCAAGGTCTACTTTGTGTACCAGAACTATAAAGCTGACCGGAAAAGCCTGGATCTCATAGCCCGCAAAGCACTGACCTTGCTGCTCTCCATCTGCATCCCAGCCCTCTACATGTTGTTGGTCGCCACAGAGCACATGGAGTACGTCAGGACATTCAAGAAGAAGGAAGATCTCCGCAACCGCCTCTTCTGGGTCATTGTGGACATGCTGGACGTGCTGGACATCCAGGCTAACCTGTGGGAGCCCCAGAAGAAGGGGCTGCCGCTCTGGGCGGAGGGCATCATGTTCTTCTACTGCTACATCTTGCTCCTGGTCCTCCCTTGTGTGTCCCTCTGCGAAATCAGCATGCAAGGGATTGGCATCATGCCTCACCGGATGATGCTGTACCCCATGCTGAGCATGCTCACTGTCAACATCACCACCATTTTCATCCGAGGCAGCAACATGCTTTTCTTCAGGGACGCCCGTGTCTCCAGCATCTTCATGGGCAAGAACCTGCTGGCCATCGCCCTGAAGGTCTGCACGTTCGTGCAGTACCAGCGGCACCAGCACCACGTGCCCCCGGGGCTGGAACAGGCCCCGCAGCACAGCTCCCAGGCCCAGCCCTCCCCGGGGCTGCACAAGGCACGGGACCAGCCTGCCTGCCCCGAAGAGCTGGCCCAGGACAACACGTGACAAGCCAGCAGGGACCACAGCCTGGACACTGCCGTACCTGCAGGCCTGAGGCAGGCCACTGAGCTTCCTGCCTGGACAGAGGGCAGTGGCCCCGCTCCCTCCCTCCCTGGGCAAAGCTGCTCTGGTCCTCAGGGGTCGCATGGCAAGAGGCCCGCACAGCAGCTCTCTACAGCTGCAGAGCAGCTCAGGACCTCAGCACCCCACTGAACAAATGGGGTATCGGAATGGAGGAGGATGAGGCCCAGTTTGCCTGCCCCCTCCAACTGCTCCCCATGCCCTCTGGCCAAGCAGGGCTCAGACTGGGGGCTCACTAGCTCAGTGCTTGGTGACAGCCTGCTCCCTGTGCTGGGGGAGCATGGCCTGGGCCTAGCCCTGCCCATCACTCCTCTCAGCCAGCTACAGGCCTGGGGGGGCCCTGAGGGAGAACTGTTCTTTTTTTGTATCTCCCTCTTTGCAATAAAAGACTGAGCCCTGCAGCCTTGTCCTGTGTGTGTCCCTGCTGGCAGGCAGGTCCCCTGGCTTCTGAGGGTGCCTGTCCCTCAGGTGATGGCATGACCAGCTGCAGAGCACATCTGGGAAAGGGGGCACCATTCAGGGACCTAGGGAGAGCCTCCCAGGCACCTGGGTCTGAAGCCATTCCTCTTGACCAGCAGCTGGGAGAAGAGAGGTCCTTGTGAGTCTGGTGGGCTTTCAGGGTGTCACTGGGGAGTAGGGGTAGAAGCTTTATCAGCCGCCATTATGCCTGTGCAATCATATGCAGTTACAGTAGTGATGCCAACCATGCCCAATGGCTGCTTTCCCCAGGAACCCCCAAAGCAAGTCCCCACATTCCACCTGGGGGGACACCAGGGTAGGTTGGTAAGAGACACATGGCCAAGACACCATCAGAAATGAGTATAACAACCCAACTGACTCCTTATGCTGGGAGGCCACAGGGAAGAGCAGCTTTCCGCACGGTACAAATCGCTCTGGAGATGTTAGAAGCACAGAATCAGCTGGGTTGGAGAAGACCTTCAAGATCATCAGGTCCAACCATTCCCCAGCACTGCCAAGGCCACCACTAACCCATGGCACTGTGTAACTACACAGTTTGTGAACACTTCCAGGGACGGTGACTCCATCACTGCCCTGGGCAGCCTGTTCCAATGCCTGACTGCCCTTTGGAGAAGAAATTGTTCCCAATATCCAGCCTAAACCTCCCCTGGTGCAGCTTGAGGTTGTTTCCTGTTGTCCCATCCCTTGTTCCTTGGGAGCAGAGCCCAGCCCCCTCCTGGCTCCATCCTCCTTTCAGGCAGTTGTAGAGAACAATAAGGTCCTCCCTGAGCCTTCTCTTCTCCAGACTGAACCCTCCCAGGTCCCTCAGCTGTTCCCCATCACACTTGTGCTCCAGGCCCTGCACCGGCTCCGTTCCCTTCTCTGGACCTGCTGCCACCTGCCCCAGTGCCACCACAGCACTGGTTGAGCTGGGCAATGCCCCAGGGCTTCCCCTGCTGCAGGTTATGGGCCCAGGAGCTGGCAGGCAGAAACAGGCCCATGGGCTCACTCCTCACCACTAATGTGCTGAACAGAAGTGGGTGACAGCCCACCTTGCAGGACAGAGGCATTTGGCTCCAGAGGAGCAGGAGGAGAAGGCAGGGCTGCTTTAGGGGTGCACTAGGTCTGTTCCCAGCTGGGCAGGACCTACCAGCAGGGATGGGGGCACATGGACTCAGGAATGCTGCTCCCACATGGTCCCTCAGCAAGGCCCTGGCAGCTGTGACACAGGGGTGAGCCACCTCCAGCCTGTCCAGGCTCCTGTCTTCTTCCCTTCTTGCACTGAAGTACAGGTGGAGGTTTGGTCACCTTTGAATTAAAACATGAGAGCAGAAACCAGAAGACCAATGCCACAAGAGTCAGGACAGCCTTGGGCTTGGTGCTGCCACCAAACTCTCCTCTGAAAGCACAAGGATGCTGCAGGCTCTGCATGCCACATCCTGAGGCAAGAAGAGGAAGCAGGAGCCAGCACAGCACAAAGCAGTAAACCACACACAGGTTAAAGGCAGCTGAGGATCCCCATGTGGTCTCTAGCCAAGCTGGTATGTCCTATTTCTCCTGCCTTGCCCAAGTCGCACCAAAACCCATCATCAGAGCAGATCTTGCTGCACCCACAGGAAATGCAGATGCTTAGCAGCACCCTTGGGTGGGTGTGATAGAACTGCTCATCATTCCATCTCTTGCTCATCACAAGGCCCTTCTCCAGGCTCCCCACAGCACAGCTGTGCCATGGGGCACTGTGCCCTGCACAGCTGAGACACTCACCCAGCACATGCACTGACCTGTCAGCTTGTCTGCGTCACATCCACACCTCCTTGTCAGCACAGCTACAGGAGATGGGGAAAATGAGTGAGGAGAAACAAGAGAGCTGGTGCTCAAATATAATGTTGGAGAGAGAGGCATTAACTCCCAGAGGTTCACTTTTGTCTGTACTGGCACTGCTGCCAGGAATAAAGGCAAACGGAGGCGTTTTACTTCGTACACTGCACTTGTGAGACCACATCCAGACACTGCATCCAGGCTGCTCCCCCAGAAGATAGATGCTGGTCCTCTGGGCTGACTCCATCTGAGGATGTGAAAGTTGTCAGAGGCAGGAGCACTGCAAGGAAAGGCTGAGGGAACAACAGGGTTTATGCACACTCAGGAAGAGGAGGCTTTGGGGAGACCTAACAGACCCCTTTTCTTCTCACACCCCAGACCTATGACAAGAGAAGATGGGGATAGGCACTTCCCTGAGAACAAGACAATACGTAGGGGCTAAAACCAGGCAGGCTTCCTAGATCAGGATTAAAAGGAGTTTGCATCTTGAGAAGCCAAAGCAGTGGAGCAGAGGCCAAGAGAGGTGGTAGCATCTGTCCCTGGATTTTCCCGGAGCCAACTGAAAAAGCCCTGGGCAACCTGCTCTGAAGCCAGTGCTAGCCCTGCTCTGAACTAGAGCCTCTCTGCCCAAGAGAGGCCAAGAGGCTTCCTATTCCCACCTCAGGTGGTGAATAGTAACACCTGGAGTAGAGGCAGCAATGCAGGGTAGGGCTTGTGCTCTCACAGCTACAGGAAGAGATGGGCAGGTGCATGGACAGGGACAGCTCTCAGTGACAAGTGCACCTGCATGACAGACTTGTCACAACCCAGGTGTGGTGTAAACCACAGCAAAGAGGACATTTCAGCTACAAAAAGGATTATTTTCTTTAGTTCAGACTCTGCTGCCCTACGTCAGCACTGTACAGTGACAGACAGATACCAGGAAAAGGGCCTGGCCCAGACAGAGAGAGTCCCAGTGCCAGACAAGAGCATGTCTGTCCAGCAGTCACAAGCTCTTCTGCGAGGGCAGGCGGCGCTTGTCTTTGATGGCATTCCTCTTCCTCTTCTTGTTCAGGAAGCTTTCCAGCTTCCCACTCCTCTTCAACTCTGCATACTTATCAGCTAGCTCCAGTTTCTTCATCTCAGCTGTAAAGAAGAGGGAGCAAGGTTAAAAACTTCAAAATGAAGCCTGGATCACCTCTACAGATCAGCCCTTCCTCACCTCTCCCTCCCTGGCTCCAGGCCTGACTTGTCGCTTGAATACCAGCACTAGAACAATCTCTCCACAGCTCTGTGGAGTATTATAGTCAGCTCAGTTCCAGTGCTGGGATTCCTGTCAGCAGTAATAGGTCTTCCTGCAGCACGTTCATGCTGAGTACTTACATTTCTTCAGGAAGAAGGGCTTCTTTCCCTGCTTGGCCAATTCCCTCTGTTGTCTCTTCCAAGAGAGCTCCCTCTCCCTCAATTTCTGCTGCTTTTTCTGTGCCTGTTCTTGCTGTGTCTGCATAAAAAAGATGACCGATGTCAGCATCCAGGCAGATCTTGGGTCATAGTGCATTGTCTCAAAGGAGAGGAGATGCTGCACTGAACTCACCATGCGGTTCAGGAGCTGCTGGAGTTTCTCCTTCTGCTCCACGTTCCGGCATTTTTTCAGCTGTTTCTGAATCATCTGAAGAAGACAGCAGAAAGCTGGATCACTGCCTGCTGCCACCTCCACTGCGAAAGGCAGAAGCTGCCCTTGCCAAAGCAAGGCTCTTCTGGCCAAGGACAGGCACACAGCATCACCTCTTTCTCCTGCTTCTTGATACTGTCCAGGAAGCTGTAAGTCTTCATAAATATTTCAGGCTTATACTCTCCAGAGAGGTCATCAAATCGAGGGTCTCTGTGGACCTGAAGGCAGGGAAGGCAAAGGTAAGACCTGCGGCCAAGATAATCCTATTAACAGCCCGCTTACTGTCCTTCCATGGATCAGACCTTGTCTTTTTTCGTACTAGCAATATCATGCACCACCACTGAAAACATCTGCAGTTGGCAAAGATGGAGTCCAGTAATGGGACAGTAGTCCCTCACCAAGTCAATCACACCTGCATCCAACCTGCCAAGCAACTGGCATTTCCATATGCAAGTCTACCACCCAGGAGCAGCCAATTCAAAGAACAGCAACTGAAGTGCTGCCTCCAAACACCTGCAACTCCCAGACCAAGAGCTGGCTGAACGTGTGTTGTCAAGGTGATGGATTTGGGAATTCAAACCTATCTAGGTTTTCACAGATTACCTGGGTCAGGTCATACAAAAAAGACACACAAAAAGAGATCTCCAACTGTGGAAATTAATGTATTAATATAATCCAGCAATGATAAATCAATGTTAGATTAGAGACTAGGTGGACATACGAACTTCCAGGGTGATTAGTACTGAACAATGACCACCGCTTTCAGTGCAACTGTCACCGGTGGCAGCCATTACATCTTCTAGATACACTTGGGGCTCAAACATTTAAGTTACTCCTCTAGCTGTACATTCTGCAGGGCAGCAGGTTATACAGAGAGCAGCTGCTCCTGCACTCAGAGAAACACCAGCACTACCTGTGCTCACCAAGCCCTGACCCTCCAGAAACAGCCCGTGTCATCTAACAGCATCACTGAGGGAAGTCAGCTCCCCAGCTGGGGAGAGAAGCACTCACCTTCTTTCTGACAGAGACGACCTGGCGCAGAAAAGGTACAGGCTTCTTGGCAGACATCTCCAATGGCCTGAAAAAAAGTGTACTTAAGAGCAGCAGAGGACAGAATGAGGCGCAGGTAACGTGTCAGGAGGTCAGCCAGACCCTCATGAGAGTATTAGTGCACAGTGCCAGAGCAGCAGACTCTCCACTCAGTGCTCACCGTACCTACAGAGAGGTAGGTGCCTTGGTCAAGGTTACTACAACCAAACGATCTAGAACTGATCTATACCACCACTCCATCAGTAAATGGGCCACGTGGTATTCCTCTCCATATTTTCATTCATCATGCACCAACCCTCTTCTATTCCTGGCTTACCAACTCATCCACTCCTGACTAATACACTGTAAAATGAGAACAGAGTTGGGAATTTCTGCACTGATCTGAGAGCTATAGAGAGGCCAAAGCTGAAGCCTGCTCAGTTCCAGGGCATTTCCCTGAAGCTCTTTTTCTAAGCAGCTCACTTCCAGAACAAAACTATGAGAGAAACAGCATGTGAGATTTACAGCAATGCACCACTTAAAGGATTAGGGGAATTCAATAAAAACAGGATTATACAAACTGTGTGGCAGAAAGAGAGACACTGTGCACTCAAAGTGCCCCCCAGACCTGGGTAAAAGACAGAGCAGAACTATTATTGTAATCAGCTGTTTGCAGCAAAAGAAACATTCATCAATAGGTTAGGGAATGCCAGTGTAACAGAGGAAAACTATTCAAATCGCTTAGATACAACCCTAAGGACTGAAAACCAGCTAAGTAGAGCATACAAAGGGTAATGGTATTACAGCTGTTACCAGTGAGGGCCTGTGGAGCACCGTGAAAAGATCTAAATCTGATAGTTTTTGTGGTGTTGAACACAGGGAACAGTCTGTGATGATGAATGCTGGGGGAGTGAGGAGGTGTCAACACATATGAGCATCAAGAGGAATGAAATACCAGAACAAGTCACTGTCTCTACAACTCCCCAGCCAGCAGAAGCCAGGCAGAAAATGCTGATGGGCAGGAAGGGGGTTAGAAAGCAGCAGGTAACAACGTAGGGCCCAAGTAACATAAGTAAAGCACTATTACACAGCTTCAGAGACAAGCATAGCATGCATGGGTTAAAAGAGCCTTAACACAGAGGGTGCAAAGGAACCGAGTGCTGATTTAGCTATCAAGTAACAGGTGGGGGGTTTGAACAGGACAGGATATTAAGAGCTCTGAAACAGCAACAGAGCATTCCCAAATGAAACACTATAGTGAAACACATTATCATGTAGCACATTCAAGGACAGCTACACCAACTCCAAGGCAATGGAAACACAGCAGAGCTCCCAGTATAACTTTTGCAGTGCAGAGAACACACAGGCAGTTTTCTGGTGACAGAGCCACCTCTTTACCCCTTTTTGCCTTGCTGCTGCTTCGCTGGAGCTTTGGTAGGTTTGGCAGTTTTCTTCCCCCTGGTCATTTGCTTGCACACACTTGTTCTTGCGTCATTCTGCATTTGCAGCAGTTCCTCAAAAGACATGTGAGAGAGATCTGGAAGAAAGTGAAGAGATACCTGAACTGAACAGCTTCCCAAGGCACTTCCCACCCCCTCATTCACAGAACCACAGACTAGTTTGTGTTGGAAGGGACCTTAAAGCTCATCCAGTTCCAACCCCCTGCCACAGGCAGGGACACCTTCCACTAGACCAGGTTGCTCCAAGCCCCTGTGTCCAGCCTGGCCTTGAACACTGCCAGGGATGGGGCAGCCACAGCTTCTCTGGGCACCCTGTGCCAGGGCCTCAGCACCCTCACAGGGAAGAATTTCTTCCTAATGTCTCATCTCAATCTCCCCTCTGTCGGGTTAAAGCCATTCCCCCTTGTCCTGTCCCTACAGGCCCTTGTCAAAAGCCCCTCTCCAGATTTCTTGTCAACCCCTTTAGGCACTGGTAGCTGCTTTAAGGTGTCCCTGGAGCCTTCTCTCATCCAGGCTGAACCAGCCAGCTCTTTCAGCCTGGCTCAAGAGCAGAGGTGCTCCTGCCCTCTAATGTTATCACAGAGGTGCTACTGCCATCGCTAAAGCCCTTGACCAAGGCTGAACTAATGGGACATGAGGGAAGCTTCTGGCATCTTCTCACAGAAGCCACCCTTGCTACCAAACCCTTGCCATGCAAACCCAGTGTGCTGCCCCGTGACACAGCTTACTGCGCGCTCTGCCCACATCTGCTGCCAAATTCAGGAATCAACATAAGGTCAGTCACATTGGCTCAGAGCATGGACTCACCCTCCCAGTCACTCTCATCTTGGCTTCAGAATCTACTCACATCATCCAGTAAATGTACTGAGGATATCAACGTGCTGCCTCAAGCAATGTTTTCTTTTTCCTTTCTCTAAGCACCCAGGAACCCTGCTCTGTCAAAGCCCATCAGTCCTCTGGGAAGGGTTAAGGGAACACTGTCTATCCAGAAAACAAATGACTCTAGGACTTAGACAAAAGCATGTGCCACTGTGCTGCTGTTCAAATCCAAACTAATTATACAAGATACTGGGGTAACAGAGCAATTAATCACTATAGAAGGCAATATCTGAGTACCACTGGATACTCAAAGCATTGCCACACAGACAAATGAAAGACTATGAGCAAGGACAGTCAAAAAGGACAAAGAAAGCATTAAAGGGAAGGAAGAATGATGTGGAAGTTATTCTGACATTCTACGGAGACAGACAAGACATGGTCACTTTCACTACAATACTCCGTTTGGCTGCAATTCCAAAACAATACCCTTAAAATAGCACAGGCTTACAAGATGTCAGAGAAATGCTCCAGGCTTGGGGCAGAGTGGCTGGAAAGCTGCCTGGAGAAAAAGGACCTGCGGGTGCTGATTGATGGAGCTGAACGTGAGCCAAGAAGCAGCCAACAGCATCCTGACCTGTATCAGCACCAGCGTGGCAGCAGGGCCAGGGCAGTGATCATCCCCCTGTACTGGACACTGGTGAAGCCACACCTTGAATCCTGTGTTCAGTTCTAGGCCCCTCACTGCAAGACAGACATTGTGTTGGAGCAGGTCCAGAGGATGGCAATCACAGAATGGTTTGGGTTGGAAAGTACTTTAAGATCATCCAGTTCCAACCCCCCTGCCATGGGCAGGGGGGCCTCATACTAAACTATGTCACCCAAGACTCCATTCAACCTGGCCCTGAACACCACCAGGGATGGAGCATTCACAACTTCCTTGAGCAACCCATTCCAGTGCCTCACCACCCTTACAGTAAAGGACTTTTTCCTTATATCTAATCTAATAAAGGGCCTGGAGCACAAGCGTGATGGGGAATGGCTGAGGGAACTGGGGGGGGGGGGGGGGGTTAGTCTGGAGAAGAGAAGGCTCAGGGAGGACCTTGCTGCTCTTACTGCTCTTTACAGCTATCTGACAGGAAGATGGAGCCAGGAGGTGGCTGGGCTCTGCTCCCAAGGAACAAGGCAGAGGACAAGGGAAAACAGCCTCAAGCTGCACCCCCACGTCCTTTTCCATGAGCAGCTTTCCAGCCACTCTTCCCAAGCCTGGAGCGCTGCATGGGGTTGGTGTGACCCATCACTGAGCCTGGCTGAACCTCACACTACTGGCCACAGCCAATTGGATCCAGCCTGTCCAGACTCCTCCCGCAGATCAGCGCTCCCAGCCAGCTCAGTGCCATCTATGCCCTCAACCAGATTGGACAAAAATCCACCAAAACACACTAAGCAGCACTGGAGTGAAGGAGCCGGAATGGAGGAAGGGGACCACGCCGTTGCAATTCTCGTTGCACCGCACGGGCGGCCACGCCGCGATATGTGCTGCTTCAGGGCGATGCCAAGACCCAACCCGCCCCATCGTGCTCAGCGCCCTGAGGGGTGACGGCACGTCCAGGGCTGGGACCGCCGCCCTCCCCGGTGGGCCCGCCGGAGCGAGGCGGCCCTCACCTGTCCCGCAGGCCCCCGCCACCTCCTCCTCCTCCCCCAGAGGGCTCTCGCCGCCGTCACTGCTACTGTCGTCGCTGTCCGCCGCCTCCAGCCCCGCGAGCGGCTCATGCTCATGCTGCTGCTGCTGCTGCTGCTGCTGCTCCTCAGCAGCGGCTCCGTACCCGCCGGTCCGCGGCCGCCGCATCCCCGGTGAGGGCGGAAGCTACACGCGGAAGCGGAAGTGACGGTGCGCGAGTAACACGGAGTCACGCAGGTGGAGAAAGGCGTTTATTGGCGCAGGCAGGGTGCGTATTGTGCGTGCGTAGCTGCGGGCCACGCCCCCTCCAACCCGTTGCCTAGGAGACAGGCCGGCGCGGCGGCGTTCGGGCCCCGGGGCCAGGCCTCGGCCTCCGGCTCGGGTTCGAACCAGGGCCAGTCCGCGGCGGCGGCGGGCGGCGAGAGGCTGTCGGCCAGGGCGCGGAGCTGAGCGGCCAGCAGGCTGAGCTCCCGGCACGGCGGGGCGGCGGCAGGCGGCGGGGCCGTGGAACGGGGCGTGTGGCGGTGCTGCCGGGCCCGCAGGTACGCCGCCTCCTCCTCCCTGCAGCGGACACGGGGTGAGGGGCGGCCCCGGGGGCACGGCCCCTCGCTGCCCTCCTCCCACCCGAGCTCTCACCTGAGGCAGCGGCCGGTGCAAGTGATGGAGCGGCCCCCGCCGTCCCGCCGCGCTGACACGTGGAGCCAGGCCCAGGTGCGGTCCCTGCGCAGGACGCGCAGCACGGCGGGGTCTGCTGTGGCGCCGGCCCCGAGCGCTGCGGGCGAGGAGCTGCGTTAGCCTGAGCCAGGCACGGGGCACAGGGGCAGTGCTGCCGGGGGACCCCGCGGGTGCGTGGTGGGGACTGCAGTCAGCCGCTGCTGTGGCCCCACCGCCACAGAAGCCACAGGTGGTGGAGCCAGGTCTGTGCCAGTCCTGCCCTCCCTTTTTAGCTGGGGCTCAAGCAGGCTTGCCCCTCCTCTCTGCACTGTGGCAAAGCAGGGCACCTGTGTTCCCAAGCTTGAAAGCTACGTGTGACCTTATAGGCAGTGTATGGAGCATGTAAGTGATTCTCTAGTTCATCCTTTTTGGAGCACGAAGTGACAGCATGCAGGACTAGGTCCCCTCTGTTTCTGTTGTCCTGGACAGGCACTTTTCCGGGGTAACCACAGGAAAATACACGTGTTACCAGGTCTGACACTCACCCACGGCCCTGTGCTGGGAGGCTGCCAGGTCAGCATCCTCAGGGTGCAGGAGGCTGTACCACGACTGACCCATCAGTTCCTCCCTGTGGTAGCCCAGGTGGTAGGTGACACTGGGGAAGACAAGGGGAAGGGGGACTGAGGGCAGGGTCTGCACCATGTCAGCAAGGAGCAGCTGTGACAAGATGGGAGGAGAGAACAAAACAGCAGGGCTACAGCGATGCAAACAAGGGAGGCAAGAGGCTTGGGCAGTATCTGAGAGAGCCTCGCACACGCAGGGCTGCTGAAGGGAAACGTGCAGCTATGGCTGCGGTGCGAGCAGCCTCACCTCTCCGTGGCATCGGTAAATGTCATGTCTAGGCTGTGTGTGCTCTGGAACAGGTCCTCCTGGGAGCCAGCATCCGCAGGCAGCCGCCTCACCGGGCTGCAGAGGGCCAGGAAGGCTGTGGTGGAGCGGGAGGGCGGCCAGCGCAGGGCTGTGAAGCGCCCGCGCACCACCACGGCCCGATTCCCCTTGTGCTGCAGTTGAAAGGCCTTGGAGGTGCGCATCTCACACACAAACGTGACTTCTGCAGGGAAACAAACCGGGCAGGGCTCCCTCGCTGGCCCTGGCAGTCCTGAAGGGCTGGAGCAGGGCAGCAGCATCTGTGAGATGCCAGCCAAGGCCTCCCTTACCCCTGCCCGGCTCCTCCTGGGCGAGGAGGAGCTTCTTGCGCACGTCCTCGTGGGCTTGAGGGTCTAGGATGTCAAAGACCATGTCCCCATGGGCAAGCAGCTCCACCTGACAACAGAGGGGCTGCCGTTGTGGTCTGTGTGTGCTGCCGTGAGCCAGGCAGCTCGCTGGAGCCACAGGCACACAGGAAAGGTACGTGGGGACAGTGACCGCAGTGGGCAGGCCTTACCATGGAGAGGCCCAGGACCTGGGCCACGTTCTCTGAGATGTAGACCAGCTTGCCATCGGCCGAGAGCACCAGCAGGAACCCTGGGAGCAGGGACAGCAGCTCCGTGCCAAGGGCTGGTCCTGCAGGAGCAGCGCAGCCTGCAGGGGGGATGGATCACAGGGTGAAGCGCTGCCGTGGTGGGGCAGGAGCAGTGCCCCACGCAGAGCGAAGCTCATGTGGGGTGCAGTGGTGCTGTGGGTACCTGGGGGGAAAAGCTGAGCCCCCCGCAGCTGGAGGCACACCAGGGCCATGGTGTGGAGGTAGGAGAGCCGCTCCTTCTCCCGTGCTGAGATGGGCAGTAGGGAGCGCAGTGCCTGCAGCTCCATGTTGATCTGGTCCCGGCGAGCCTTGGAGGCACTCTTGGTTGACCTGCAAAGCCAACCATTGGGCAGGGAGAGGGACAGCATTCCCTAACTGCGGCCATGGGGAGAAATGTGAGCTCAGGAATGTGAATGGAGATGCTTGGTGCCCATGGCAGCTGTTTCTGGGACAGCAAACTCTTGGCAGCTGCTTTGGTGCAATGGGAGCAGGCTGCCCCCCACAGCTGCCCAGGGGGACGCCGTTGCTGGTGCCCCTCTTGCTAGGGGCCAGGTTAGACAACGACATTTGCTTTGGGAGTGCTTGGGCTCTCCCCAGAGACCTCCCACCAAGGATGGAAACTGCTCCCAGTGCCAGAATGCAAGCCCATCACATCTGTCTTCACATCTGGAATCCCTCTGCCCCTCCAACCTCCCACGCTGCCTCCCCATGCACCAGCAGCAACCCTGCTGTCCTAGGCTGGTGCTAGCCCCTTGCAAGGCCCATGGGACACTGCAGAAGCTGGTCTGTGCTCTCCCCAGCTAGGAGACCTCACCTCAGTGCTGCAGGAGGGAGGGAGCTCGCTCACCTGAATGGCTTGGAGGCCCTGGGCATCTCCTTGCCCCTCCTGGGCAGGCAGCTCATCTCTGCCTGCAGCGGCCTGTGGCAGTGGCTGCAGAAGATGGTCATGCTGCTGGCACTGGGATGCTGCTCCCTCCTTCGCCTCTGGCTGCGTCTGAACCTGCTGACCCTGCTGCTCCCTGCCGGCCTTCTTTTGTACCCTCCTGGGGTGTGCAGGGTTACCTCTCCTGACGCAACCCAAACAGCCCGGGGCTATTTTTAGAAGGCAGCCTGCTAAAAATAGCCCTGGCAGGCGCTGCAATCTGAGAGGGGAAGCAATAAAAGGAAGCCAGGGTCTTTAAAGCAAACCTGGCCTCTCAGGAGGGGGTGCTGATGAAGGTAGCAGGGATCTCCCAGCGGGGCACACATCCGCCCAGCTCCTGCCCCGCTGCTGTTGCCGGCCCAGCAGAAGGTCCATGAGAAGCTGAGGGCTTGTGGCTGGTGCAGCAGCAGCTCTCCAGCACCACTGATGACTGAGCTGGTGCTGCGACAGGGAGCTGATACAAGGAAATGCACCAGGGACCAGTGAGCAGCGTCCATGTCCAGGTCTGCAGCAGAGTCCTGGCAGAGGGTAGTCAGGGCCACAGCCCCCCTGAACCTGAGAAAACCCTTGAAGTGGTGCCTGGGACCCTGGTGAGCTCCTTCCTTTCTTCACAGAGAAACCTCCCCATCGAAGGCTGTCTCCCCTAGAGGCGGCTGCCATGGGGCACTGAGCCTGTTGTCTCCATTCAGTGTCCCAGGATTGTGATTTTCCCCAGTGACAGCCATTCACAGACAGAGCCCAGAACACCCCACAGAGCCCCTGTGCTCAGTGCCATGCTGCCCAGTCCATGGGTGTTTCCAGTGCCTGGCACCCTACAAGGAGATGAAGCTTGGTGCTTCAGTGCTGGGGAAGGGCAGAAAGCCTCCAGCATTGAGAGAAAGCCTGTGGCTGAGGTAGCTGGTTGAGCTGGTGCATTATGCATGGGAGATGCCCACCCAGCCCTCACAGGTAACCCGTGTGCTCTCAGCACACCCTGGCTCCATTCAGGGCCCCAGCCCTGCCCTTGTTGTCACCCATCACGGCAAGGTGCTGCCAGTGCATGAAGAACAACCTCTTGTCACACTTGTGGTGCGTCTGTTCTCTTGCCATGGGGCTTTCACTGCTCTCGTGCCACCCCAGGCTGCTCCACTGCACCTGCACTGGCCCCCTGCCACAGCCTGCAGTGCCCTCTGCCACCCTGTGCTGCTGGAGGAGCAGCTTCTGACCCTGGCTCCCTGCCACCCTCAGAGCAGGGGACGTGGCCTGGGCCCTCTGCCACCGGTTCCTGGCGCACAGCCACCACCTCCTCTCAGCTGCACCGTGACTTGACAGGGCAGGGAACACCCTGAGCGCTTCCCTGGCTTTAGCCACATCTCCTTGTCCCAGTAGACACTGCCACGGGAAGGGGCTCAGCACAGCCCTCTGTGCCCAACGCCCTCCCTGGGGCAGGATGCTGGGGGGGGGACCCAGCTCCTCTTTTCCCCCCCAAGGCTCACAGCAGCTGTGTGGGAAAGCACCCGGTCCAGTCTGTCCCCTCCCAGACCTCTCCCCCTTTGCCTGCCAGGATACACAGAGCAGCAGGAGCCAAGTCTGCCTCAGCATTTATAAACCCCCCCTGGTTGCTGTTTCACAAGGGAGCTGGGCAGAAAGTCCAGCTGGGCCCAGGCCTCCACATCAGGCTCAGCGTGGGGCTGGGACCTTGCTGTCTGGTGCCAGGAAGCTGGTCAGCACTGGCGTGTGCAGGCATGAAGATCCCTGCTCTCTGGAGGCAGCACAGGAACAGTTCATAGCCCCAAGCCAACCCCAGGGCCATGGCTGGTGCTAGGAGTTGATTCAGGCCCTTGGAAAGTGGCCAGGGACCAGGCCAGTGCAGCTGCAGCTCCATAGGCAAGGTGAAGGAAGGCAGGAGGTGCTGGATCCATCAGCAAAGAGGGGAGTTCACAGTTGTGCTGCTGGGACAAGCCAATTCCTTCCCCAGTGGCCAGCTCTGCCTGCACACTCATGCTGCCCAAAGGAAGACGAGGGCAGAGGGAGGCCTGGCTGGGGCAAGATGAACTGAGCTCACCGTTTCCTTGATCGAAAGGGCTAAAAACTCATGCAGGCAGTAGAGCAAGAGGTCAGTGTGTGGAGGGGCGAGGGCAGGGCGGTGGAGGGACGAGCCGACATCAGCCCTGGGAGGAGACGATGGGGCGGCTGATGGTGCTGTTTGTCGTCATGGCTGAGAGCTCCCATCTGTAACACAGCGATGGGGTACAGTGAGAGAAAGCATCATCACAGTGCCGAGGGCTGGAGCAGGCAGCCCTCAGGCAGGGCTAGAGCACCCCAAGGAGACGGAGCCCTCCCAGCAGGGCACACAGTACCTGATGTCGTGGGGAAGGCAGGACTGGTCCAGGCTGTACTGAATCACTGCTAACTTACACAGCGTCTTTAGGCTGGGGCCTGCAGGGAGAAGGTGGTTAGGCACAGCAGGCCTTGGCCAGACACTCTGGGGTCAGCAATTGTGCAGTCAGGACCATGGGAAACCAGGCAGAGCACCCTGGCCACCCCTGTGAGGGACAAGGCAGGGTGCACACCAGGGACAGTCTAGAGCAGTCTCCTGTGCTCCCACAACAAGCTTGTGTGTAGGAAAAGCCATGAGGCCAGCCTTAAGCCATGTACACCAGCCCGAGACAGCTGCCTGCCAACAAGAGGTAGGGACTTGGAGCCATTGAGGACATGGGATGGTGCTTCACAGCAGGGCCTGCTTGCAGGGCACCCTGTGGTGAGAGGCACAAGCCAGGCAGGGAGTGCTCACGTACTGAAGTCGAGAATGTAGAGATCTGAGTGATCCATCAGGTCGAATTCATCACCCATTCCCTCCTCTGGAGACGGGCTGCAGAAGCCAAGAAAAGCATCAGTCAGTGCCAAAACACTTGTCCACCAGTTACGGTCCCTTGCCCCCGCCCCAGGTCCTCATGGAGCTGCACAGAGCTGGGTGCAGAGACACACACCATCTCCTCTAAGCCATGGCAGGGAATGGGGGAGCTGTCCCCTTCCCACCAGCAAGCACAATGACTCCAGATGCGGGCCTGCCCCGTCCCTGTTGCTTTGCTGCATCTCCCACCCACAGGAACATGGACCAGGCTCTGGCTGGTTTCAGACCGCTCCTTCCCCTGGTGCCCCCCCCCGGGAATCACTGTGGGCTCCAGGCAGTGCTCCCTGGTTGTACCAAACTGGGGACAGCGTTTCAGACTGTAACCAAGCATGTGAGAGGCTCTGATTAGGGCTGCAGTCATTTACAACAATCCCAGTTTGCCACGTTGGTCCTGGAGTGGCAGCAAGGAGCTATGACTCCAGGCATTCCTAGGGAACAGACAGCCTCACCTATCGCTTCCTGCCTCTGCACCCTTCATGGAACAGCCACAGCACCCAGGAGACTGGGCACCCTCAGCACAGAGACCAGCCTGTGCTGGAGCAGAGGTGCCTGGACCAGCAGAAGCGCTCCCATGGCGGGTGGTGTTTGGAGCATTGGAAACAAAGGAAAGGGGTTTTAAGTCCTGCTTTGGCTTGTGACAAGGCAATTTAGTGTGTCCTCACCGCTTAGCTGGGACCTCAGGCAGTGACTTCTCACCCCAGTGTCACTTGCTTCCCCACCTATGACCCACTGAGCTTCACATCTCATGGGGCACGAGACAGAACCTGCATCCCCCCCTGTTCCTATAACCCCAGCACAGGCTGCAGAGCAGAGCTCACTGCCCACACAGACCTGCTGCTGATGGATCCCATCTGCCCGGATACAGGCAAGAGCCCCTTTAATTCCACCCCTGTGTGCTCACCACGCCACAATCTAATCTCCCATCCACGTCACAGGAAACCCTAGACCATCCCTTATCTTTCAAAGGGAAGCAGCAGGCACCTTGTTTGTGGTTTTAATCACCAAACTGCAAGCAGCTAGGGAAAGCCTGGAGTTCAAGAGCAGGAGACAGCCAGAGCCCAGCACAACTGCTCTGTCCAGCTGCACAGCAGCTCAGCAAGCTAGAGCTCTGCATCACGCCCTTGGATCAGCATCTGTTCAGCTAAACTCTGTTTTACAGCATTCCCTCTCTGTCTTGGTCTTCCCTCTGGATGGTCTCTGCATGCTCAAGGGTCTGGGAGGAAACCAGACCAGGGGCTGTGACACAGCAGAATGGGAACACTGAGCTTAGTGCTACAAGACTTCGTGGTCACCTAAATGGGATACAAGGGACAGGACTGCTGCTGGGCACAGTGGCAGACCCCAGCTGGGGAAAAGAGCAGGGTCCGGGCAGGACTATCAAAGGGGATGAAGCATTGGGAATGCCTCAGGAGGCGGCGTGCTGCAGAAGTGCCTCTTGAATGCTCTAAGGGAAGGCAGGACACAAAGGGGTTGTGTGTCCATCCTCCAGCACTGCTCCTGGAAAGCTGACCCTGGTTCACCCCCCAGGAGCCCTCCCAATCCCAATCCCCCTCCCCCTCCCCGGAGCACAGGTCAGGAGCAGACCACAGGGAGTTCTCCATTACACCCACTTCCTGGAAAACTTATCTCTCCAGGCAGCTCCAGAACACACCTGATAACTGCCACAGGAAGCCAGCGCTGGCCCCACCGCCATCCCCCCTTCCCCACAGCCTTCCTCCAGTCCAAGCAGGCTGCATTCCTGGCTACCAGCAGCTCTTCCTATCCCAGACTGGGGACCAGAGACAGAATCAGCAAGGTTGGAAAAGACCTCCAAGATCACCCAGTCCAACCATTCCCCAGCACTGCCAAGGCCACCACTAACCCATGGCACTGAGGGCCTCATCTACACGGTTTGTGAACACTTCCAGGGACGGTGATTCCAGCACTGCCCTGGGCAGCCTGTTCCAATGCCTGACTGCCCTTTGGAGAAGGAATTGTTCCCAATATCCAGTCTAAACCTCCCCTGGTGCAGCTGGAGGCCGTTTCCTCTTGTCCCATCTCTTGTGCCTTGGGAGCAGAGCCCAGCCCCCTCCTGGCTCCATCCTCCTTTCAGGCAGTTGTAGAGAGCAGTAAGGTCCCCCCTGAGACTGAACCCCCCCAGGTCCCTCAGTTGTTCCCCATCACACTTGTGCTCCAGGCCCTGCATCAGCTCCATTGCCCTTCTCTGGACCTAGGGATGAACCGGCCCACATTTAGGTTAAGGCTGGATTAAAGAACAAGTTGAATCCTGAAGTTGTTCAGTGCAGAAAACAAGGTGCTGCTGCATTGCCTGGCAGAGGTGGACCAAAGTCCAAAAAGCTGATGTCAAATTTGTTGTGGTTTGCTACTATTTCCTTGGTGTGCCTAGGTTTAACACCAGCTTTGTTGTAACAAACCCACACTGCAGGACCCGAGAGCATCCAAAACGACCATCAAGCCCTATC